AGGACTCGGCAGCTCCAGGGAGGGCCGTCTCACAGCACACCATCCGCAGCCCTGATCACACGTGGACCGCGTTCTCTCTAAAATGCCTTTCTTTCTCTTTACTCTGCAGCTAGAGCTCCTTTACAAAAGCCCCCTAAACTCTCTCACGCTGTCGTGAACTCTGTTAACTGATCTTCCAACCCTAAGAGAGCCGACAAGCTGTTCGTTCCTCAAACCTAAAGCTATCAGTGCAGAGGCCCCTGGCCTCCCCGGGGCTCCAGCAACCGGTCTTCTCCCGCTTCTCTGACTCCCGCGGTCTGCATGCAATGCTCCCGTTGGACAAACCACTCTAGAGTGTGGTTCCTGACTACGGTCAAAATGAGCAGAGCGCTGGCCTACCTCCAGTTCATTGCTGCTACTTCGTTGATATATTCAGCACAATACACTAAAATTACTGGAAAAGAGAGAAACCACGTGTCAGGATTTGGATGACTGATTATTCATCATTACAGAATTATACATATTCTTTTTGCAATATGTTTAACATAAATACCACAGAATAGCAAAACTTTGATGAGAAATGTAACTTCTATTTTAGGTAAAGTGTGAGGTCAAAATTGGAGAATTTTAAAATTACAGAACACATTCCTTTAACGGGAAAAAAATGAGGAAGGTCAAGACACATGAAAGCCTCGATGGTCTCAAACAGTGCAAAGCTGCGGAGCATCCAGGTCTGGTGCCTGAAAACCCAGTGCGCACACGCATGCTACTCTGCCTGAGCTCCTACCTGACCCAGTCACGGTTCCCTCGTTCGAGACGCCACACAGAACACGGCCGGAGCTGTGAGACCCGGTGCTTGAAGCGACCTGCTTTCCTCCCTCACGCTTGCACCCCCCAGGGACACTCGTGACACCTGCCCAGCGGTCCTGGCGGCCACAGCCCTCCTGGAGCCCAGAGTCAGAAGCAGGCAGCTGTTCCAACCCTGACCTAGAGCCTGCTTACTACTGCATGCTGCATACACCGACCTGCAGAACAACTGGACAGAGCGGGTCACGGCAAAGAGCTGCCGTGAAAGCCCGACGCTTTCATTTCTCGGGGAAGTTAAAATGTGCGAACCTTCCTGCCCTTGACCAAAGTCACAAAACAGATTACACCGGGCTTTGCAATGTCTTGACTCCTTCCTCCATGAAGGGCCCAAGGAGGCACATCAACAAAGCCAAAGAAGAGAGACAGAGAAGAGAGGAAAAGACAGGCTGAGACACAGAAGGCGTGGAGCAGAACAGCACCATCTCTGCCAGGCGCTCCTCCCCAGGTGACAGTGTCATGAGTCTCGGCTGAGCCACCCGGGGGGCTGAGGGACCTGGGGGTTAGGGAACCTCTCCCTGTTTCATCCATAAAGTGCGGCAAATGATGCTGCACTGAACAAAATCAATCGTGCTGGCCTGAGAGTTACATGAATCATAGAATATGTGCACACATGTAGAACATCACCTACTTACTGTCCCAAGTGTGCAAAGTCAGCCCTCTCTTCACCCTCGAAAATAACAAACCCACAGAGTTAAGTTTACAAGCTGTTTCTAACCTGCCAGCTCACTGATAAGGCCGTCGCCTTCCTCCGAGCACACGCCATGCTCGCTGCAGGGAGTGCTCATCCTGGCCCCCCCAGTACACACATGCTGCATGGCTCGCGCCCGCACGCCCTGCACACCCCAGTTTAAGTGTTCCCGCACAACTTGAACAGGGCCCCTTCACAGTGCTTCCGGCTGCTCCTCTTTTTGCTGCCTTGTACTTATCACAGTTGAGAGCAACACAACTACGTCTGCAATGACTTCATGAACGCTGGTGTTGCCCAACTAAGCTCTTCGAGGCTAGGGAGGTGTACCCCTGACGTTCCTTAGTACACGCCTGACCACAGCCCTCAGGGGCAGGCAGGAAGTGGCGACTCTCCCCATCACCTGCTCTACGGGAATACTCGTGCAACACAAACTCACTGCCTCCCTCTTTCCTAAGACAAGCTCTCACGGAGATGCCGCCTGGCACCTGGCCATATCACACAGCAACTGAAGTCTCAGAACTGTTGTTTATTCTACTCACCTAAGCACAGGAAATGTCCAACCTGTACTTCGTACCTCTGGGATGACAGACATGTGAGCAGCAGGCACAGTATGTGGAAGACAGCCAGCCCTACAAGCCAGGGCTCGGTCCAGTCTGTCTGCTGTAAGACACACCGCTTGAAACTCATCATCTCATGGTCGTCAACTCAAACGGGGGCCAGGCTTCACGACTCCTGGGTCAGGGAGGGCAGTGGTCCCTCACTCCTGAGCATCCAGAGCCCTTCCCCAAGGCCTCAGAGAAACAGGTGTTGGAGAAGGAAGGGGGAGGAGGGAAACGGGAACCCTCTACACTGCAACCGCGGTCCAGGGATTTTAAAGAGAAACGTCACTAGTTTGGTGTTTGTGCACACAGAACTGACTGCACCATGGACTTGCCCCTCTGTTTACTGAACAGAATTGTGTTTTTAAGGTTTCTAAGGATCATCATCCCATGACTTAGGAGGAAGTTAAGTGTCTCATTCAGGGGATGCACTTGGTTACTCCAAGACTTAAAACACTTTAGACTAATACTTAAGGCCTTGGGAAATCGGAGGCATCCCAATTTGCCAGATTTTATTTTCCCCAACCTTTCTAGCAACCTTCCAAATAGTACCAAGATGTTGTGTCTCCTGCACTTTACGGTGGGCATGTCTGCACCCCCACATGCTCAGGTCCCCCTAGAGATGCTCAAATCCGCCCCCAGATGCTCATATTCCCCTCTTCAGATGCTCGGATTCCCATGCCCATAGGCTCAGATTCCACCCCCAGCCAGATGCTCAAATCTCCCCACAAAAACGCTCGGATCCCCCCAGATGCTCAGGTTCCCTCCACAAGCTCAGATTCCCAATGCAAACTCACACCCAAGCCCTGCCCTTCACTTCTCTCCAGCAGAGGAGGCGGGACCTGCCTCGGGGTCCCGCAGAGCCCTCTGGACTCTCTAGGTGTCCCCTGCCGCTCCTGCACGCCTCAGCACGGTAAACTGCCCACGACTACCTGTCCCCAACAACGTGCAGAGGAGACGAGAGAGCAAGGCGGAGGAGAGGGCGTGGACAGCGCGAGGGCAGCACCGGAAGTTCACGCCGCCCCACACCCCGGCAACTCCAGCCGCGGTCGGTCCACACCGCCCAGACCCGCCCCAGCATCCCGACAAGCCCTGCCCAGGAGCGTCCCGCCCGCCGCCAAGCCCCGCCCACGAGCGACCCGCCCACCACCAAGCCCCGCCCCGGAGCGTCCCGCCCACCGCCAAGCCCCGCCCACGAGCGTCCCGCCCGCCGCCAAGCCCCGCCCCGGAGCGTCCCGCCCGCCGCCAAGCCCCGCCCCGGAGCGTCCCGCCCTCCGCCAAGCCCCGCCCAGGAGCGACCCGCCCGCCGCCAAGCCCCGCCCCGGAGCGTCCCGCCCGCCGCCAAGCCCCGCCCAGGAGCGTCCCGCCCACCGCCAAGCCCCGCCCACGAGCGACCCGCCCACCGCCAAGCCCCGCCCCGGAGCGTCCCGCCCGCCGCCAAGCCCCGCCCAGGAGCGACCCGCCCGCCGCCAAGCCCCGCCCCGGAGCGTCCCGCCCGCCGCCAAGCCCCGCCCCCACGCCCCATCCGGTGTAGTTGGTATCGATAGCGGATGCGGGCAAACCCTGGCTGGCCCCAACTACCGTCGCCCGAACTGGAGGTCAAGAAGGCAGCAAGTTACCGTGATCACGGCAGGAATGCTGACAGGGAAAGAGCTGACTGAGAAGGCGGACGGCATCGTCCCCGGAAAGGCCCACCCTCACCACCACCGTCTTGCCATCCCCGCCCCAGTTGGATAACACAGGGAACGCCTCCGGCGTCGCCTCTCGCGGGATTTCCACTGGTCGCGAAACCCGCTTAGTCCCAGACATCTCGCGATATCTCCCTGTGGGCCCGGTATCAGGTCCACATCTCGCGGTATTTTAAAAATACGCCTAATAATGAAACTGAGAGTAGTTTTCCGATGGTCTTCCCATCCCGGCCGGGGGAGGAGGGAGGGTGAGAGTGTCTCTAGTTCTACGGTAGCCGGGTGGCGCTCTGGAGAACCAGGGGCGGTTGGGCGTCCCTGCCTGCTTCCGACGCCAACCCCGGATGACCGAGGGGGACAGGGGGCCCGAGGGGGACAGGGTCCGCGCTCCCGGCGGACCAAAGGGGACAGGGTCCGCCCTCCCAGGGGCCCGCGGGGGACAAGTGACCGGGGGTCCAGGGGACAGGGTCCGCGCTCCCGGCGGACCAAAGGGGACAGGGTCCGCGCTCCCAGGGGCCCGCGGGGGACAAGTGACCGGGGGTCCGAGGGGACAGGGTCCGCGCTCCCGGCGGACCAAAGGGGACAGGGTCCGCCCTCCCAGGGGCCCGCGGGGGACAAGTGACCGGGGGTCCAGGGGACAGGGTCCGCGCTCCCGGCGGACCAAAGGGGACAGGGTCCGCGCTCCCAGGGGCCCGCGGGGGACAAGTGACCGGGGGTCCGAGGGGACAGGGTCCGCGCTCCCGGCGGACCAAAGGGGACAGGGTCCGCCCTCCCAGGGGCCCGCGGGGGACAAGTGACCGGGGGTCCAGGGGACAGGGTCCGCGCTCCCGGCGGACCAAAGGGGACAGGGTCCGCGCTCCCAGGGGCCCGCGGGGGACAAGTGACCGGGGGTCCAGGGGACAGGGTCCGCGCTCCCGGCGGACCAAAGGGGACAGGGTCCGCCCTCCCAGGGGCCCGCGGGGGACAAGTGACCGGGGGTCCAGGGGACAGGGTCCGCGCTCCCGGCGGACCAAAGGGGACAGGGTCCGCCCTCCCAGGGGCCCGCGGGGGACAAGTGACCGGGGGTCCAGGGGACAGGGTCCGCGCTCCCGGCGGACCAAAGGGGACAGGGTCCGCCCTCCCAGGGGCCCGAGGGGGACAAGTGACCGGGGGTCCAGGGGACAGGGTCCGCGCTCCCGGCGGACCAAAGGGGACAGGGTCCGCGCTCCCAGGGGCCCGCGGGGGACAAGTGACCGGGGGTCCAGGGGACAGGGTCCGCCCTCCCAGGGGCCCGCGGGGGACAAGTGACCGGGGGTCCGAGGGGACAGTGACCGCGCTCCCGGCGGACCAAAGGGGACAGGGTCCGCGCTCCCAGGGGCCCGCGGGGGACAAGTGACCGGGGGTCCAGGGGACAGTGACCGCGCTCCCGACGGACCAAAGGGGACAGGGTCCGCCCTCCCAGGGGCCCGCGGGGGACAAGTGACCGGGGGTCCAGGGGACAGTGACCGCGCTCCCGACGGACCAAAGGGGACAGGGTCCGCCCTCCCAGGGGCCCGCGGGGGACAAGTGACCGGGGGTCCAGGGGACAGGGTCCGCGCTCCCGGCGGACCAAAGGGGACAGGGTCCGCGCTCCCAGGGGCCCGCGGGGGACAAGTGACCGGGGGTCCAGGGGACAGGGTCCGCCCTCCCAGGGGCCCGCGGGGGACAAGTGACCGGGGGTCCGAGGGGACAGTGACCGCGCTCCCGGCGGACCAAAGGGGACAGGGTCCGCGCTCCCAGGGGCCCGAGGGAGCAGGGGGAGACAGTGTCCGCCCTCCCGGGGGACGGAGCGGACGGTGTCCGCGCTCCAGGGCCATCCAGGGTCTGGCAGGGACGCACTTTCTCTGGCCAAGAGCCTGTGGGTGCCCGTCACCTGGGGTTGTACGTAATGCGGTCTGAGGACCCCGGGGGCGGGGCCTGAAGTTCTGCCTGGCGGGCACAGGGGGTGAGGGTCCCGCCGGCGGGGGACCTCCGTTGAGATTAGGGTCTCGGGATGCTCTCCGCAGCCTCAGCCTGGAGGCGCCTGCAGATCGCTGCTCGTCGCTCAGGGTGTCCAGAATCCTGCGCCTCAGGAAGTGGCTCGGGACACGAAAACGAGCGCAGGGCATGCGCTACCGGGGGCAGGTGACAAAGGTGAGTGCGGCCGCCCGTGGGCTCTCACCGGAGGCCCACACGGCCCCGCGGGGCCCGGCAGCCCCCGCCGTCCGGGTGGGGCGGAGGCAGGGCGCGCGCTGAGGAGGGACCCCCGCCCGGGCGCTTGGCGCGAGCAAAGCTGCGCGGAAAGGTCGGAGGGGTGGGTCCTCGGCAGGTGGTATTCCTGCGGGATCCAACAAAATGCAGCCCTGCGGCGCTGCCCCGGGGTCCGAAACGGCGTCGGGCGGTGGGGCGGGTCCCGCGGGTCCCGGCCTCAAGGTGCCCCGCGTCTGCATCTTCGGGGACCCCGCCGCTCCCCGCCGCTCCCGCCCCGCGCCTCCTGCCCCGCCTGGGGACCTCGGAAGACACCCGCTGGGCCGAGCCCCGCCCCGCTTTGACACTTCCCGATTACGCTTCTGGCGTCTCCTCCCCGCTCCCCCCCCCGCCCCGTGCCGCTGTGACCCTTCCTGTCGCCTTGCACGTTTCAGGCGCAGTTTCATGTCGCCCGTGGTCCGGCGCATACAGCCTTCCCTGCACCCGACCCTGGAGGCGGGATCCGCAACCGTGTTTTCACGCAGCTGCTGTTCCCGGTCTGGGGCTGCATCTCCCCAGGAGGCGACCTTGCCCCCAGCGGCCCCCGCCTCCGGGGACGCGGCGGGGCGGGGCTGGGTCGGCCGCGGCGTGGACCGGGTCCGCTCGAGTCTCGGTCAGGCGCCAGCAGGTGGCAGCAGCCCCGGCCCCGGGCCCTGCTTGCGGAGCCTTAACACCTCTTTCCGCGTCTGCAGCAAAACGAATTTTCGAGTATTCTGTTGTTGAATTGAGAGGTTTTAATTTTAGATGGAGAAGTAATTTTCTCTGAGCATCGTGGGAGAGTCAAATCTGTTATTTTTGACTCTCAGAGATTGCCGTTGCAAAATTGCAGTCATTTAAAAATGTGCTTGTGAAAACATAATTATGGATAAAAACGTTTTATAGATTAAATCAACAAATTTAGTATCTTATCTTCATTTTATATTTTCTATTTTAAAAAGAAAAGATTATTTATTTGAGAGAGAGAGCACCAGCAGGGGGAGGGGCAGAGAGAGAATCTCAAGCAGACTCGCCCTGAGTGCTGGAGCCCGGTGATGCGGCCAGATCTCAGGACCCTGAGATCGGGACCTGAGCCGAAACCAAGAGTCCAACGCCCAACCAGCTGACCACCCAAGTGCCCCTTCACTTTGTATTTCCCCTAATCCATGAATGTACCCCTACCTCAGTGCTCACAGAAGTGGTGACTACGTGGGTTACACCACACGTGGCATTGTGCTGCTTTAGGTGGCTTGTTTCTGTCTCTCTCTCTGACTGAGCCTCTCCAGGGCATTAACCCATCTTACCTGTCTGCCTATTCTACATTCTCAGCACATGGGGGACATAAAATGCACATATAGTGTATAATACTAGACAACTGTACAATGACTACACAGAGAAAAACTTCTGGACTCTGGGCAGGAAGGAGTTGAAGACGTTGCCCATGGCGCCTAAATACCTCCTACAACAGTAGCAGTCTCTTCCCTCTTGGCTGTGGGGCTAGAAGTCCAAAATCAAGGTGCCACAGGGCCACGCTCCCTCTCCAGGCTCTGGCAGGGTCCTTCCTGCCCTCCTACAGCGTCTGGTGCAGGACACCCATGGGGGTCCTTGGATCTTGGCGGCATCAGGCCAGTCTCTGGCCTGCAGTCCTGCCCCTCCTTGGTCGGCCTTCTCTTCTGCTCAGGACACAGTCACTGGGCTAAGGCCACCCACTCTAGGGTGACTTCATCCACCCTGTTTCCAGGGGATCACATTCGCAGGAGCGGGGATCATGGCTTATCCTTTGGGGGACACCATCAATGTACAATGGTGGTGCAAGAGGAGACAGCTGCTGTAACTAAGGGCACTTGCTCAGGAGTGTGGCATCACCTTAGGAGAGTGGGAAGGGGTTCTGAGCATGATGGTTGGGAAAGAGAGAGGCCTCAGTAGGGTCTCGACTATGTGGGCATCAGTTGTCATTCAGGGAGGAGACACCATGTGCAGGCATATGTCCTCCCTAAGATACAACACCTGGGTAATCACAATCTACCTTCTTGCTGGGACCCTCTGCTAAGTCACTTCAGTCTCCTGTCGGGCCACGGCCCCAGGGCCACTGCCGTGGCTGGCCCCTGCGGTGACACCCTGTCCCCACGTGCATTCCTTGCCCAGAGCCCATGAGTGTCTACACTATCCCTGCCAACACAATGCAAAGCACTGGATTCTGCAACCATGAGTTTGCTCGGGATAATTGCTCCAAGCATTTTTAATGGTTTATTTCCTAAGTGTTGTGGCTGTTTGCAGTAATAATACAGCTTTGTTTAAGTGGGATAATACCTCATCACAACTTTGCTTCCAACTGTCCATTTGCATTCTGCTATATAATTACGTTTTTATGCATATCTTTTTTCAACTGCAGAAACTTTTGAGCATATTCCAAGCGGTTTGGATACTCGGATATGGCAGCATGCGACTCACTGGTGACAGTTGTTCGCTCAAAACTGGTTGAGTGCAGGGAGTGGACCGCACTCTCCTCCTTTACCACCAGTGTGCCTGGGGATGCTTTGCTTTTAACGTTAAAAAGGTAGGATTTAAAATACATATGTAGCATATAATACTAGAACACAATGACGTTGAAAGAAACCAAAGCCTATGTGACCCACTATCATGTAACTACCACAAATACAAGGATGGTGATTTTCCTTTGCCAATAGATATTTTTAGGTAGACTTTTATTGATTTATTTATTTTAATTTAAATTCAATTAGCTAACATATAGTAAATCATTGGTTTCAGATGCAGTGTTCAATGATTTATCTGTTGTGCATAACACCCAGTGCTCATTACATCACGTGACCTTCTTAATGCCCATCACCCAGTTACCCCATCTCCCCACCCCGTCCCCTCTAGGAACCCTTAGTTTGTTTCCCAGAGTCAAGAGTCCCTCATGGTTTGTCTCCCTCTCTGATTTCTTCCCATCTAGTTTTCCCTCCCTGTTCCTGTGGGCCACAGCAGAATACAACAGAGGATTTGGAAAGATCCACTAATTCAGTGAGTTAAATAAAGTATGACTTACAACATTGACCACTTTTAGGAGAAATATTCCTGCAAAAACTTAGAAGGCATAGAAAAAATAAAGAAAAAAATGGACATAAAAAGGTCTCCAGAATATCCTGAACATCTTAATCTCATTTTTTTAGTTTTGTATCTTACAAAGCAGAGCTACTCTTAAAGCTTATCCTTCTTAACATGTTATTTAAAATACAGTATGTTTAGAGAATTTTACAGCTTTGTGGAGCTTGGAGACCAGATCAGTTCGCTCATTTTATAAATAATCACTGTTGCGTCCCGTACAGCGGGTGGGGGAGTCCACTGAAAGCTTTCCCTTTGGACGCACCAAGCTATCACACTGTATCAGAGGACCCTGTGTGCAAATTTTATTTTATTTTATTCTCAAGTGTGTTTTTTCTACACAGGACTAATGAGCATCATCAGTAAAGCAAATACGGGAACTTAACGTGCCGCCCTGGTGGAGCGTTATTTGGTATTGGCCCATCTCCTTTGCAGTTTGGGTCTCTCGGCTGTGTCATCAGCTCTCCTGAGGAGACTACCAGCCACCATCCGCGTGACAGGATTCCACCCACGGCTCCTTGTCCTCCCGGTTGGATCTGCCAGCACCTGAAACAAAGCTGCACTTACAATTCTCAGATGCCTTTCTCCAGGGTTACTTTCTTTCTTTCCTGCCCAATCTGCGGTGGAGACATGGCCAAGGTTGTCCAAGGTTGCTTCAGGTCTGACTTAGAGCTCCAGGGTAAACTGAGGGCTAATAATGTCATGCCGCATCCCTGGATAGAAAATCAGCCTCGAGGGCTTTACTTCTTAGGTGATGGTAGGAAGAAGAAAGAGAAAGGGGAAACAACATTTCTGTAGCATTTATACAGAGCTTGATCCATGGCATTCGAGTTAACCTAACGTTGATATGAGGAGAAACACACGCTTTCCTTTTGCACAATTATGAAATATTCACCAATATTCACAAACTGCTCTGTGAGTCTTCAAACATTCTTCCGGCTGAACTGTTTTCCTCATTTTCAGAGCAAGTCTTGAATGCCGTTCTCAGAAGGAAGAAAGGAACAAATTTTAAAAACACTGTTATGTTAGTAGAGTTTAACCCAAGAAAGAAAACAAGAAGTAATTGATTTAAGGGGAAACTCCGTGTATACAGACCTTGAAAGAAGGCGGGACCGATCTCCGTGAAACGGAGAAAATCACTCATACCCTATATATCGATGTAAGACACTGCAGTTAATGTGGGGAGAGAGACACAAAGTAACCCTGATCTTTGCTTTGAGTGATCCAAGTAGCTGGGGAAATGTTCTGGTCATAACCATCCACACATTGGGTAGAGAAACAAAAAGCACGGTAGAATGTGGAGAACGGAGATACGAAGTCAGACAGTAGGAGTGCAGATTGAAGAATAAGTAGATATCAATTTATTTCTTTAAATAAAAGCTTAGATAATGTATGGTGATTAACATAACAATAAAAAATTTTTAAAAAAATAAAAGCTTAGAAATATTGTATTCGAATTTGGAATTTTAAAGAGACTATTACATTTCTTATTTGGCTTTGATTTTGATATTTGAATATAGTTTGAATTTCATTTCCATAATTTTTGTATTAAGATCTCCTTATTAAATATTTCACGATCATTTTAAAATCTTGCAGCGAGTATTTAGTACTTTCTTTAACTAAAGACAGAAGCTACCGGCAAGCAGGTCACAAGCTGTGAGAACACAAGGGCAGTTTTGTGGATTCATGGGTGTAACCACGAAGGGTCTGCCTCCCTCCTCGGGGAGCCCAGGCCCGTATGTTGTAGGGCTAGAAGAAACAGCAACACCACAGTCGATGGCAGAGGACAGATGTCAGACAACAGCCCAATGTCCTGAGGCATCAGCTCCCTCTCGGCATGATGGTGCAATTGTGCATTTTCATCAATACGCGTTTCACCAGCCCAGGATGCCAGGTGTTTGTGAGAGATAAGTAGGACAGCCACATATCCTGGTCAGCCACGGAACATGCCAGTTTACACATTTCTTCATAAATAATTACTAATAGCAACCTCTTTTGTGTTCAAAACTGCCCTGTTTTGGATGATAGATTTCAGGATCACTCCAGTAACAGGGTACATGGTAGGATCAGTGGGTTCAAGATTACTTTTTGGCTGTAAATGACTGGTTTTGTCAGGAATTATGTTTTACACGAAATTACAGTGATGGATACACAAGTCAAGACATCCACAGTGTGATTACTGGGAGCAGCCTAGTGGGCACGAGGCCTCTGGTTTCTGGCCATTCCAACAGGAAGCAGTCCCTGCAGGGGACCGGCCTCTAGGGGCTGCCTCCTGAGCCCACTTGGAGGTCTGTGGCGCACAGGTGGAAGGCTTGGCCAGCACGATGGGCAGACGGCGGGGAAAGGAGAGCGGGGCTCACTGAGCAAAGGCATGGCTCCCCATCGTCGCGGTCACCAGCGATGCCTGGTGGAGGAGCTGGGTGCAGAGGGCCTTCTGTGCAAAGGGGACCATCGAGTGCACGTATGTACGAGACTCAGATCTCCTCCTCAGGGCGTATGCTTCAAGGTTCATCAACAGAAATCTTCCGTAAGCCTCTCTTCACTAATTCCCCGGTTTATTTTGAAATCTCTGTTTATCTGCCCACCAGAGATGCACACAGATCCGTGTTCGTCTCCACCTCCAGCTGCCTCTCCTCTGTGTGCACCTGCTCAGGCAGAATCTGGCGCTCTCCACGGGAAAAGAGTAGTTACAGAGTAATGCATGTGTCACCACGTCAGGAGACAATGTCATCAATAAATGGGGTCACCACGTCAGGAGACAACGTCATCAATAAATAGGAGAAATGTGGATAAATACATCATTAAGAACACAGACTTTATTCAAAAAAGAAAACAAAACAAAACAATCAAACCTACAGTTAGATGTTTTTAGGGTTTCTTCCTTTTCTTTAAATACGACTAAATGACACTTTGTTGAAATTTAATGTGTTCAAGCAAAAGTCCTGGCTGTGGAATGCACCTTAAAAAAGACATAAAACTTATTACTTCTGGCTCAGTTTTGAGCTCTCTTGGTCTTTGAATTAACTAACCAAAGAGTTAATGTTACACTGGAGAGAGGACAGAATTAAAGCCGGCCAGCTTCCTTTTCTTGTAGAGGAGACAGTCCTTCCAAGTTTGCTCTGTCCTGGGCTTAAAGGTGTGCGGTCTTACTGGGATGTCGCCGCAAGGACAGCTGTTAGAAAAATCACAAATAAAACCGTTGCATGAAACAAAACCGTTCAAAAATCTCCTCCACATTGCAAATGATAGTTTGATGTTTTAAGCAATATTTTTGTTAAATAATCATTGCTTTGGTATATTTTTTCTGCTAGGAGACACAGAGTCAGTTTTTACTTTGTTGGTTATCATGTGATATTTTACTTACAAGACATTTAATGTAAATGTGTTTTAATAATTACCTTTACCAAGATAAACTAAAACTGAACAACAGGGACGTGAGAAAGTGAAAAATTTATCTTTCTCTTGATTTAAAAATTGCTCTGTCCAAGAGCATATTTTTATTTCCCTTAACCTCCATAAATTTACACTAAATTCAATTTCATCATTTTTAAGAGTTCAACCCATCCTAATAATATATCCCCCTTACAGCTGGAAAGAGCTTTTCTTTAAAAAGAGGCCCTTCGACTATCTTACGGAAGCGCTAACTACAGTGGCCGTAAGTCACAGCCGTGCTGGTGGGTGGCGGGTCCTCCTCTGTGTCTCGGGAGACTGCATGCCCCAGCGCCTCGGCTTATTTTCAGGGAGGACCAAGCACCCTTCCCCTCTATAATCTACTCTGCCTTAGTTCCTGATGGAATCCCAACTATTTACGCGAGAGTTGTATTTCTTATTTCATTTCATTATGCTTGCTTTTCATTGGGAATATAACTGGAACTGGGGTTATATATCTATTTTGAATTCATTCTGGCATAAAAAAACAAGTTCATTTAGAATTCTATAAGGAAGCGAGACCCAGGTCTTCTCTCTCGCCAGGACCAGTTTTCTAGGAGAGTTCCCATTTTCTCACTTGGAAGTCTATCACAGAAAGCATCCGTCCCAGTTTAATAAAGGTTCTTCTTTCCTTGCCCTTTGGCACACTGTCGGAAGAGGGGTGGACACCTGCGATCTGAAGCGCTTGCAGGCTCGCTGAACTTCCTCTCTGCCGGTGCACGAGCCTCTCATTGGACGGAAATGTCCCTTGTCAATGTGGAGCCACAGGGACTGCCTTCGCGGTGACGGGCCATGGGCAGGCGCGGCTGGAGGACAGGGGGTCCACGATGTGGGGTGCAGGCCACCTTCACCTGGGCTGTGACTGCAGAGTGAGGGGTGGGCTCGGCTCAGCAGGTCCTCCTGAGTCGGGACCAGAACAAGAAAGGAGGCTCTCCAGAGCCCGCAGCAAACTGAAGACGGGAGTCATATGTCCAGATGGGGTAGGATGCCCCGGGCCAGCCTGAGGTTCCTCCACAGATCTTGATTCCCAGGAGAAAGCTGTGTGTCCCCATGACTTCCAATGCAGATGGTCATCCTGATAGTTGGTATATGTGTGTCAGCGAGATTCAAGTTGTTTAGCACCACTTGGGGAATTATTGATCTTGATCTACTGGAAAACAACCATCTTCATCCTAGATGGAGTTCCCAGAGCAGCCAGGAGCATTTCCTTATTGTAACTGTAATAAAGATGGCACATTTGGGGCGCCTGGGCGGCTCAGTCGGTTAAGTGGCTGACTCTTGATTTCGGCTCAGGTCATGATCTCAGGGTTGTGAGTTCAAGCCCCGAATCAGGCTCCGCACTCAGCACGGGGTCTGCTTGAGATTCTCTCCCTCTCCCTTTGCCTCTCCCCCTTTCACTCAAATAATTTCTTAAAAAAAGAAAAGAAAAAATAAAATGATACCATTTACCATAGTCATTACATCCAAAGTCATCACATATGTATAAGCTTTACACCAAAGCTGTTAAAACATTACTGAAGGAAGTGAATGGAGACCTAGGTACATGGACGGATACACTATTTTTTGCATTGGAGGAAATGATATACTGAGAATAAGAATTCTCCCTAAATCAGAGCAGGTACTTTTTGTTTGTTTGGTGACAAGACACTCACTAACCTAAAATTTACATGGGAACAGAAAAGACCAAGAGAAGCAGGAAATCCTGAAGAAGAGCGAGGATGAGGGTATACTTACCCAATATCAAGATTTGTACAGAGACCCGATTTAAGACAAAAGTGGCGTGATGTAACAATGGGAAAGTCTTTTTAGTGAATGGTGCTGGATCGACTGGGAGTACTTGGTGCAAAACTCAAATCTAGATGTACTATGAATCTAAACATGAGGGTGAAAAAACCCAGCTTCTAGAAGATAGCTTGCAGATATTCTCCTTTGTTACTGGGGTAGCAAAAAAAATTCTTTAACAGGATTAAAAAAAGCTCTGATGATAAAGGAAGAGGAATTTCTATTTATTGCAGACCCTATTAAGAGTTTCACAGGGGATGAGAGAATATTTGCAATACACATAACTATCAGGGAATCGTTACAGTGATAATAATACTAATGTCTATAAATCAGAAAAGACTGTCAAGAAATACAAAATACATGAAGAGGCAATTTACAACAGGGAGTCTCCAAATGGCCAGTAAGTATATGAAAAGTTGCTCAACCCCATTAGCCCTTAGGAAAATGAAAATGAAAACCGAAATGACAGAAACAAGCAACCCAGTGAAAAGGCAATCTATAAAGTGGGACAGAATATTTGCAAACCACGTATTTGAAAAGGGGCTGATCTCCAAAATGTGTAAGGAACACCTACTGCTTGACAGCAAAAACAAGTAGCCTGATTAAATAGTGGGCAAAGACTTGAAAGGCGTTTCTCCAAAGAAGGCATACAAATGTCCAAGAAGTATATTAAAAGATGCTCAACATCATTAATCATGAGGGTACAGGAAATCAAAACACAATGAGATACCACCTCACACCTGTTAAGATGGCTATTATTTTTTAAAGTATGTGTTGTCGACAATGTGGAGAAATCAGACCCCTTGTGCACGGTTGATGCGAATGTATCCATCACCGTGCAGACGCTGTGGACAACAGTGTGGAGGAGCCTCGGGAAATTCGAGTAGATCCGTCACATGATCCAGCAATCCCACCTCGGGGTGTTTATCAGAATTGAGTTCAGGATCTCGAAGAGGCACCCACACTCCCATTTCCAGAGCAGCAATATTCACAGCGGCCAAGTTGATGTTCATCGATGCGTGGATGGACAAAGAGAATGTAGTGCATACTCTCCCAGTGGGTTAGAATTCAGCTGTAAACAGAAGGAAATCCTGCCATGTTTTTAGTAACATGGATGAAATGTAAGGTCTTCTATAAGCCAGTCATGGGAGGGTAAACACTGCATGATTCCACTCGACAAGGTGTGCGAAGCAGTCAGACCCGTAGGAGCAGGGAGCAGGATGGGGGCTGCCCTCGTGCATTTTGTCTTGTTTGATTTTGAGAGTCTCTTCCTTACTGTTGTGATGTATTTAGACAATAACCTAGTATGTGGCACAAACACCAACCCCATACACAGCACATATGACTATCACAGACACAC